CGAAATAAGATTATTAATTGAATGAAATGTATTTGAATCAACGTAGCCTATTTTAATCATGATGGTCATAGGGATGATAGAAAATGGAACACAGCCTGAAGTGAAAAAAATACATAGCACTCCAATGACATGTAATGTAGGCCAGCACTTCATTTTTATATAAACCTTCAGAAAATACAGCTAATTTATGAAATAATTTTTAGCACTGGTGCTCCCTGTGAAACCTAAATCTCGAGTATCGGACAAAATTTAGGAACATCAGAAAAATGTGTGGATATGGTGCTAAACTTGAAGAACTTGTGGTTCTCACTGTCTAGTGAAATGATACAATGTCTGATCTCTCTTTCCTTCCATTTGACCTGTAGGTGTGTGGGGTACACCAGAGAGAATGGCATTCGTTTTTCCCATAGCTTTTTCTTTAAGGGGTCAAATTCTCTGCTTTTCATGTAGAGGTCTCTGCTCATGTCGGCGTTGATGTATATCCGAAGGCCCTCATACATCAAAGGTCTAACTCCTAACTTTTTGGCTTGGATGGCCAGTCTTAGAACTTTATCTTGGCCCTATAGTTAAGGAACCTTGCGATGATGCCCCTCGGTTTGCTGCTCCTGTCCCCTCTACAGCCGCCTGTTCAAAGTGCTTGTTCGATTGTGGGAGCCCGTGTGAATTTCTCCTGGTCAAGTAGTTGTGGTATTACCTTTTCCAGGAAAAACCACAACTACTAGTAGTAGTTGCCAACATACATTTTCACTTATTTTTTGACCATTCAGGAACATTCACTGTCTTCACTGCAGTGTAGATTTGGCCTTGTGTTTTAGGTTATTGTTGAAAGTTGAATTCCTCTCCCAGTGTCTGGTGGAAAGCAGACTGATCCAGGTTTCTCTCTAGGATTTTGCCTGTGGTTAGCTCCATTCTGTTTCTTTTTATCCTGAAAAACTCTCTAGTCCTTGCCTATGAAAAGCATATCCATAACATGATGCATCCACCAACATGCTTGAAAATATGGAGAGTAGTACTCAGTGATGTGTTTTGTTGGATTTGGTCCAAACATAACACTTTGTATTCAAAACAAAAAGTGAATTCCTTTGGTACATTGTTTTGCAGTATTACTTGTTTAGTGCCTTGTTGCAAACAGGATAAATGTTTTGGAATATTTTTATTCTGTACAGGCTTCCTTCTTTTCACTCTGTAATTTAGGTTAGTATTGTGGAGCAACTACAATGTTGTTGATCCATTCTGAGTTTTCTCCCATCACAGCCATTAAACTCTGTTACTGTTTTTAAAATAACCATTGGGCTCATGGTGAAATCCCTGAGCGGTTTCCTTCCTCTGCTGGCAACTCAGTTAGGAAGGACGCCTGTATCTTGGTAGTGACTGGGTGTATTGATAAACCATCTAAAGCCTAATTAATAACTTTACCATGCTCAAAGGGATCTTTGCGAGCCATTGGAAAAGCCCCCTTGTCTTTGTGGTTGTATCTGTGATTGAAATACACTACTCGACTGAGGGACCTTACAGATAATTGTATGTGTGGGGTATATAGATAGGGTAGTCATTTAAAAGTCATTTTAATCCCTATAATTGCACCAGGGCTTGACTTGGACTGAAATAGTTTCTGGTACTTGATAGCATTGCTTAATTTCGATAAAAAAAGTATCACCAAAGTTCTTGCTAATAGGTGTAACAACCATTATTAATCCGGATGAGACAGGGTTTATCCCCGGCAGGTTCTCTTTTTCTAATGTGCGCAGGCTGCTTAACATTATATATGCAAATCATGGGAAAGACTCCTGGGCGGCTATTATATCGCTAGATGCTCAAAAAGCGTTTTACCAAATAGAATGGTCATACATGTTCGAAGCACTCACTAGATTTGGATTTGGCGACTCATTTATCACCTGGGTGAAAATGCTCTATGCCTGCCCAACATCCTCTATTCTGACCAACAGCGACAAATCCAGTCCTTTGAACTACATAGATCTGTCCAGCAGGGTTGCCCACTCAGTCCTCTGCGCTTCGCTGTCACCCTTGAATCCCTGGCGATACAAATAAGGGATCATCCTAATATCCAAGGTCTTAAAGTAGGAAACATAGAAAGCCGCATTTCGTTATATGCAGACAATGTGCTTTTATACCTCTCAGACCCAGTAGCCTCTGTCCCTAACCTACTAGACTTAATCAATTCATTTGGCAAACTATCTGGCTATTCAATAAATTGGGGAAAAAGTGATCTCATGTGTATCTCAGATAATATTACAGCAAGTGAGCTAGAGAGGATACCATTTAAAGTGGTGCATGACCACTTAACTTACCTGGGACAAAAAATACCTAGAAATCTAAAGCTCATCTTCAAGCTTAACTACAGTGAGCTGATTGTAAAGCTAAAACAAAACATAGAGAGCTGGAGAATATTGCCTCTTTCTATGATGGGGTGCATTAATGCCATAAAAATAGTTTCTCTTCCCAGGTTCCTTTATCTTTGCCAGAATCTTCCAATTTTTCTTACCTCTTCATTTTTTAAGACTGGACTTGACAATCTTGTAATTTGTCTGGGGTTACAAAAACCATCATATTTGTAAAGCCCATTTGCAAAAGCCCAAGGTAATTGGCGGCTTAGGCCTACCCATCTTTAAGCATTACTACTGGGCTGCAAATGCCAGGGCGTTAACGTACTGGCAAGATAAAATAGCCAGATAGTTTGCATTGCCCCCCCAAACAAACTGTCAGGCAACAACTTTGTTTTGAGAAATTCTTTAAGAATTTTAAACCAGATTAAGCATGTTTATAAGGTACCTGATACCTCTGTATACACCCCGATATGCTTTAATCATTTTTTTGTTCCATCTCGGTCTGATAAGGTGTTTGTTGAATGGAGGGAGAAGGGACTGGCCACAATTGAAGACTTATACATAGATAAGCAATTAGCATCATTCATCCAAATAAATAATAAATTCAAACTCTCCCATTAAAATGTCTCAGTTATTTACAAGTCAGACACTAACTATATCAAAGGGTAAATTCAAAATGTTTACACCCTCCCTGTACAACATTCGTTTTATGATTTGCTACAGCGCCCCCTCCCAACTCAGAACACCTCATCTCACAGTTTGTCTCCTTTTTCTCCAACTACACAGAGGCCTCTACTAGTCATCTCAAGGAAACCTGGGGTAAAGAGTTAAATATTGAGATCTCAGATGATCTATGGGAAGAAGCCCTGTCTAGAATTCACTCCTGTTCCATCAATGCCAGATATCAATTGATACAATACAGTCATGCATAGACTTCATTACTCCAAAACCAAATTACATATAATTTACACCCAGGTCTCCCCCACTGTGTGAAAAAAGTAAAGCCTCAGAGGGTTCATTAACTCATATTTTTTGGCTCTGCCCCCTACTTAATACTTTTTGGATGAAAATCTTTGATTGGTATTCAAAGGTATATGAGAAGGCCATTGAACTTGACGTAGAACTTGCTCTCTTTGGCTGCTCAGAGTCTGTTCTAAGATCGTCCTATGAGGAACAACAGGCTCTGATGTTTGGAATGGTGGCTGCAAAAACAATTAAACTCACAGAATGGAAGTCACCCCTTGCTTCCGTAGATGGCTAGCAGAAATGATTAACACCATTAACTTGAAAAATATTAGTTTTTTTCAGGACAAACTCCTCCAGCAGATTTCTCAAGATTTGGTGTCAGTTTCTGGACCGTCTGGACAGAGACTGACTGTGAACACTGACTAGGAACTCTTATTGTTGTTGTAACTGTCATTGTAGCTCTATTCTTGTCCCATGTCTTGCTTAAGCAATAATTAATTTCATATGTCTGGCAGCTGTGTTTTTTGGTTATTTTTGTGTGCTTTTGTTTTGTACTAAATTGCTAAAGAAAATCCTTTAAAATAACAGCTCCACAATATTTTTGCGCTAATATTCTATAAGAGGAACAGTAGCTCAAGCAGTCAAAAATGTGAGGTGCTGGTACTCCGCTCTGTTGAGCTCCTTCCCAAGTCAAGCACTGTATTGCAGTTGTTAAGCAAATTAGGACTCCTGAACTTATTTTGGCTTGCCATTACAAATACATTATTATGATTTATTTTTATTAATTTTTACAAATGTATACAATTTTCTTTTCACTTTGACATTTGAAGTATTTTGTGTAGAACAGTTACAAAGAAAATGACAATTATATCCTACTTTGTAATGCAACAAAATGTGAAAAAATCTAAGGGAGGTAAATACACTGTATGCGATGGTCTGCTGTGCAAATACAGTCATGCCAAGCATTATACGATGGAATTGGGAAAATAATGGACCTGTAAAAAAACAATGAAAGCGCCACAATACCATGTGATGTATAGGCTATATTTCATTTAGGCCTACTACTTGAATTGTGACCACAAACTAAGTGTGATGAGGTGGTGTTGAAGGAGTCAGGCGTAGGAGGGTAAATCACAGAATAACAGGCTTTAATCCGCAAAATACAGGTTTACGCAGAAATGCGTCAAACACACTCCAGGGCACAAAACAGGCGCACTGGAAAATACAAGGCACACAGGAAATACTCCTGTCGAAACAAAATACACGAGCTCCACCGAGCTTCACTAACCTCCACAATAAACAATCACTCACACAGACAAGGAAGCAGAGGGAACACTTATACAATGACTAATGAGGGAACAAGGACCAGGTGTGTGTGATTGAAGACAAGAAAAATGTAGTGATGATAAATGGATCGGCAGTAGCTAGTAAGCCGGTGATGCTGAACGCCGAAACCTGCCCGAACAAGGAGGGGAGGCAGCCTCTGCGGAAGTCGTGACACTAAGTTGGGAGGAAAAGGTGAGATCCGAACACAATGCAGACACAATGCAGCCAGAGTGCATGCGTTTTAATACCAGGTGTAATTGCAATAAATGCAAGGTCTGTGTTCGGAATGTAATCCTATCACGGCTGTTCGGATAGGGATAATGCAAGGTGTAAATGGGGTCTGAGAGAGTGCTGGGATTTTGGTTAGACAAGGTGTTCTCTGAAAAGATGGATTGTCGGCCTGCTCATCTGTAGATATGACCTCAGCACCGTACAGTCCGGGCACTTCTCTATATTCCCTATAACGTCCACAACCCTCTCCACCCCTTCTTGGCTCAGCACAGTTGAGGCGTTCGCCTCGAATTTCCCAACTAAATCCTCCTGACTCAATGGCTTCCTCCAGTGGCCGTAGAAGGTATTACACCTGGCTGTGGCACTCTCCCCATGCTCCATCTCAACTGTCACCTCGCAGTACATCTTGTCAAAGCTGGGGTGGTTGTCTTGGGGGTTCTCGACTCTGACCTTGGCCAGGAGCTCCCTCAAAGCTGGCCTATCTATCTGGGGCCTGCTGAAGGAGTTCACGGACACCTGGTTGTCCAGCAGGGCCGAGCAGGCATTGAACTGGAATGAATGCCTGGCCTGGTGCTCCATGGCTGGGAAGGGGCAGTCGATGTACCTGGAAGGAGGCACTCTGAGCACCACCTTCTGGACCTGAGAGAGGTCAGGTTCGCCAGAGGCTCCAAGCTTGGCCCGGGCCGCCAAGGCGGCATCCACCACCCAGTGCATTCCCAGGTGGGCTGGGAAGCGCTTGATGGCCACATCCTGCTCCTCCAAAACCCATCGAAACCCACCACCACAACCACCATCAGTCCCGGGGAGCTCCGAGGGACTATAGTCTGAGTAGAAGACCCCGAAGCCGGACTCGAGATCCAGGATGGCCTGACTTCCCTCCAGCCCCAGCAGGGCGAGCTTGGCGGCCTCCAGGCCTCTGCGGGCGGCATTGCCAATGTGGAGGGGTTTTGTCTGGGTAGCTGCATTGGCCATGGGGGCCCCAGCGGAGGAGGCGGCGATAGCCAGGGAGTGGACACACTGGGCTGGGGAGAGGGCTAGGAGCTTAGCTGAGGCTGCTGCACTGCCCATTACTCCCACTACAGCAGGAGGGTGGAACCTGAGAGAGAGAAATAAAACGTTTAGGATTGGGAGAAGATTGGGATTAGAAGCTCACCAGAAATGTGGTATTTTAGATTTGCGTGCAATAGCTAATGTCTGTAAAATACCTGTACAATGCATGTACTGTACTCTAGTCACAAATATGATTTGAACAAGCACTTGTGACTACAGATATACAGTAATTATATTGGCAGTACAAAAGAAAACAAACTGCCAACATAATTAGTACAAACAATAAAAACAAAATGCATGCATGCAAATTTACTGGCAGTCTCATTTATACCTTCTAGGTATATTGTGGGCCTCCTTGGAGAACCTCATGAGTCGCCCCTGCACCTCGATGCCTGCGTTGAAGGCCAGCAGCAGGTCCAGGCCGGAGGGCTGGGTGGGCAGAGTCTCTGCCAGGGCCAGGAGGGCAGGGAGCACTGCCCCAGAGGGGTGGGTTGCAGGGTGCCACGTGTCATCAAAGTCCATAGAGTGCACCTGTGGCAAGGTGAAAGGGCAACATTATATAATGGGTGCATTCAGAGAGGTGAAACGTAAGAAGATAGAAATGGAATGAATAGAGCTGATACGATTACCTATTCTACACGACAGACAAGCATATCTGATACTAAATGCATTTCTGTCTGAATGTTCTGTGGCATTGCGCCCTCCTGAACAGGCCCCAGATTTAAGTGAACAAAATGTTCAAATTTGTCCATACAAAATGTGTTACTACGGTTTGCTCTATTGAACACAACCCAGTTCAGGGTTGGGGAGATACTGATTACATGTAATCAGTCACATGTAATCTGATTACAAAAAAATTACGGTAATCCGTTACGTAACCAGCAACAACAAAAATGTAATCGTACATGTGAATGTAATCCAATTACAGATACTTTTGAGAAACTAGATTAATATTTCTTGGATTACTTTTAAATTCAGATAGGATGATTGCGAGAAAATACATTATGACACATTTCTGTTTTCTCAATGACGTTTAATTCAGCCTTTAAAAAGGCGCAAGTTTAAGTTTGTTCCACCTGAGCTGGTGTGACCACAAATCAGAGACCACTATGATGACCCACTAAGTGTGTTTGACTGATCGTCTTTGTCTTCTTCTAATGCCTCTTAAGGGGAAAGTAATCCAAAGTAACTGAAAGTAATCAGATTACATTGCTGAGTTTGGGTAATCCAAAAGTTACATTACTGATAATAATTTTGGACAGGTTCTGTAAACGGATTACATTTATGTCACGCCCTGACTCAGAGGACGCTTATATGTTGAGTCAGGGTGTGTATATTCCTTGTTGTGAATCGCATCTCTGCATGTCTGGCAGACATATCAGTATGGATGACGGTTCGCCACCTCAAGCTGAACCTTGGCAAGACGGAGCTGCTCTTCCTTCCGGGGAAGGACTGCCTGTTCCATGATCTCTCCATCACGGTTGACAACTCCGTTGTGTCCTCCTCCCAGAGTGCGAAGAGCCTTGGCGTGACCCTGGACAACACCCTGTTGTTCTCCGCTAACATCAAGGCGGTGACCCGATCCTGTAGGTTCATGCTCTACAACATTAGGAGAGTACGACCCTGCCTTACACAGGAAGCGGCACAGGTCCTAATCCAGGCACTTGTCATCTCCCGTCTGGATTACTGCAACTCGCTGTTGGCTGGGCTCCCTGCCTGTGCCATTAAACCCCTACAACTCATCCAGAATGCCGCAGCCCGTCTGGTGTTCAACCTTCCCAAGTTCTCTCACGTCACCCCCCTCCTCCACTCACTCCACTGGCTTCCAGTTGAAGCTCGCATTTGTTACAAGACCATGGTGCTTGCCTATGGAGCTGTGAGGGGAACGGCACCTCCGTACCTTCAGGCTCTGATCAGTCCCTACACCCAAACGAGGGCATTGCGTTCATCCACCTCTGGCCTGCTGGCTCCCCTTCCTCTGCGGAAGCATAGTTCCCGCTCAGCCCAGTCAAAACTGTTCGCTGCTCTGGCACCCCAATGGTGGAACAAGCTCCCTCACGACGCCAGGACAGCGGAGTCATTCACCACCTTCCGGAGACATTTGAAACCCCACCTCTTTAAGGAATACCTGGGATAGGATAAAGTAATCCTTCTACCCCTCCCTTACCCCAACCCACCCCCCCCCAAAAAAATAAAAAAATAAAAAAATAACACATTGTAAAGTGGTTATCCCACTGGCTATAAGGTGAATGCACCAATTTGTAAGTCGCTCTGGATAAGAGCGTCTGCTAAATGATGTAAATGTAATGTAATGTAAATGTGTTTGTCCATGTTGTATATTCTAGTATGTCTAGATCTATGTTGGCCGGTGTGGTTCCCAATCAGAGGCAGCTGTCGCTCGTTGTCTCTGATTGGGGCCATACTTAGGCAGCCTATTGGCACTAGTTAGTTGTGGGATCTTGTTCCGTGAAAGGTATGCTGTTTGTGTCTACCTTGGACTTCACGTTTCGTTTAGTTTGTTGTTTTGTCGTTGTGTTTATTCGGTTCAAATAAACATGTATGCATATCACGCTGCGCCTTGGTCTGACCCGTCTATGAACGAACGTGACAGAAGATCCCACCAAACGAGGACCAAGCAGCGTGTCCAGGAGCAGACAGCCTGGACATTGGGGAATAAAAGGGTGGTTGGCGGAGCCTAGTGTTAGAGCAGAGCCAACTCCCCGTATTCACATGAGGAGGCGTGTGACTGGGCAGGCTCCGTGTTATACGGAGCTATGTACTATATCGCCAGTGCGCGTGCACAGCCCTGTACATCTTTTGCTAGCACCAAGCACGTGCCGTGCGAAGATGGACATCCAGCCAGGACGGGGTGTGCCGGCTCAACGCTCCTGGTCTCCAGTACGCCTCCTCGGTCCCGCATATCCTGCGCCAGTTCTACGAGCTGTATCGCCAGTACGCGTGCACAGCCCAGTGCGTCCTGTGCCAGCGCCCCGCACGTGTAGTGCGAAAGTGGGCAGCCAGTCAGGACGGGTTGTGCCAGCTCTCCACTCCAGACCTCCAGTCCGCCATCACAGTCCGGTCCGGCCCGTTCCAGCTCCTCGCACCTAGCCAGTGGTGCGCGTCGCCAGCCCGGCCCGGCCCGTTCCTGCTCCTTGCACCAAGCCAGTGGTGCGCGTCGCCAGCCTGGCCCGGCCTGTTCCTTACCTCGCACCAAGCCAGTGGTGCGCGTCGCCAGTCCGGTCCGGCCTGTTCCTGCCCCTCGCACCAAGCCAGTGGTGCGCGTCGCCAGCCCGGCCCGGCCTGTTCCTGCCCCTCGCACCTAGCCAGTGGTGCGCGTCGCAGGCCCGGCCCGGCCTGTTCCTGCCTCTCGCACCAAGCCAGTGGTGCGCGTTGCCAGCCCGGCCCGGCCTGTTCCTGCTCCTTGCACCAAGCCAGTGGTGCACGTCGCCAGCCCGGCCTGGCCTGTTCCTTACCTCGCACCAAGCCAGTGGTGCGCGTCGCCAGTCCGGTCCGGCCTGTTCCTGCCCCTCGCACCAAGCCAGTGGTACGCGCGCCAGCCCGGCCTGGCCTGTTCCTGCCCCTCGCACCTAGCCAGTGGTGCGCGTCGCAGGCCCGGCCCGGCCTGTTCCTGCCTCTCGCACCAAGCCAGTGGTGCGCGTCGCCAGCCCGGCCCGGCCTGTTCCTGCTCCTCGCACCAAGCCAGTGGTGCGCGTCACCAGCCCTGCCCGGCCTGTTCCTGCTTCTCGCACCAAGCCAGTGGTGCGTGTCGCCAGTCCGGCCCGGCCTGTTCCTGCTCCTCGCTCTAAGACAGTGGTGGATGTTCCTAGTCCGGTTCGGCCCGTGCCTGCTCCTCGCACCAGACCAGTGGTGAGTGTGTCCAGTCCGGCACGGCCCGTGCCCGTTCCACCGGTGCCTGGTCCGGCACCAGTCAGCAGCTCCAGTCCGGAGCCAGAGCAGTCCGCCCCACCAGTGCCTGATCCAGCTCCGGTCAGCTGCTCCAGTCCGGAGCCAGAGCAGTCCGCTCCACCGGTGCCTGATCTAGCTCCGGTCAGCTGCTCCACTCCGGAGCCAGAGTAGTCCACTCCACCGGGGTCCAGTCCAGCTCCGGTCAGCGGCTCCACTCCGGAGCCAGAGCAGTCCGCTCCACCGGTGCCTGATCCAGCTCCGGTCAGCGTCTCCACTCCGGAGCCAGAGCAGTCCGCTCCACCGGGGTCCAGTCCAGATCCAGTCAGCGGCTCCAGTCCGGAGCCTGAGCAGTCCGCTCCACCGGTGTCCGGTCCAGCTCCGGTCAGCGGCTCCAGTCCAGACCCAGACGTCAGCCCCTCTCCAGGTTCGGGGTCTCCCACACCAGGGTCCAGACAGGGCTTGGAGTATAGTGGGAGGAAGGAGAGGGGAAGCAACGGCCTGAGGTCTAGACCAGACCAGGGGCACAACAGGGAGGCGAAGAGTGAGAGGTCGTCACGCCCTGAGCCGGATCCGCCTCCGAGGCGGAATGCCCACCCGGCCCCTACCCTGTTATGTTTATGTTGTGCGGTCGGAGTCCGCACCTTTGGGGGGGTACTGTCACGCCCTGACTCAGGGGACGCTTATATGTTGAGTCAGGGTGTGTATATTCTATGGTGTGTAGTTCTATTTTTTCTATCTAGTATGGGTATTTCTATGTTTTCCGGTGTGGTTCTCAATCATAGGCAGCTGTCGCTCGTTGTCTCTGATTGGGGACCATACTTAGGCGGCCTATTGGCACTATTGAGTTGTGGGATCTTGTTCTGTATAAGGTTTGTTGTGTTACCTTAGGACTTCACGTGTCCTTAGTTTATTGTTTTGTCGTGTGTTTATTCGTGTAAATAAACATGTATGCATATCACGCTGCGCCTTGGTCTGACCCGTTCATCAACGAGCGTGACAATTTAGAAAGTAACCGACCCAACCCTGACCCAGTATTAGGTCACTAACAACTTGAGGAAGTGAAGCATACAGGGGGAAATGTGATAAAACTGAATACTGAATAAAATGCATTCTCTTATTAATATTAACATCTTATAAATATCAACATTTCAGTGTATAATGCATCAATCAAATCTCAATTAAAATGTCAACAAAATGTCAACATTTGAATTGGTTTTTCAAAAACAGGTTACATTTACCACAGAGAAAAATAAGGACAAAGGGAGGGGATTTGAATAGGATTATAATGTGATTAAGAGGAACATTGAAAGATAAATCACTTGATAAGTAAATGGGGGTGTACGGTATGTAAGATGTCTTACCGCTATGCCATTGACGAAGGCAGCATACTGGGGTGGCAGTGTCATCCCTGATACTCCCCACACACTGCTCCTCTCCACTGATTTGTACAACTAGGATCATACAACATCAACAGCATCAGAAACTCTAAGGGTGGACTGACTAGTAACCTGCCTCTAGTCAACCATATACAGCTGAAGTCGGAAATTTACAAACACCTTAGCCAAATACATTTAAACTCAGTTTTTCACAATTTCTGACATTTAATCCTAGTAAAAATTCCCTGTCTTAGATCAGTTAGGATCACCACTTCATTTTAAGAATGTGAAATGTCAGAATAATAGTAGAGAGAATTATTTATTTAAGCTTTTTCTTTCTTTCATCACATTCCCAGTGAGTCAGAAGTTTACATACACTCAATTATTATTTGGTAGCATTGCCTTTAAATTGTTTAACTTGGGTCAAACGTTTCAGGTAGCCTTCCACAAGCTTCCCACAATAAGTTGGGTGAATTTTGGCCCATTCCTCCTGACAGAGCTGGTGTAACTGAGTCAGTTTTGTAGGCCTCCTTGCTCGCATACGCTTTTTCAGTTCTGCCCACACATTTTCTATAGGATTGAGGTCAGGGCTTTGTGATGGCCACTCCAATACCTTGACTTTGTTGTCCTTAAGCCATTTTGCCACAACTTTGGAAGTTTGCTTGGGGTCATTGTCCATTTGGAAGACCCATTTGCGACCAAGCTTTAACTTCCTGACTAATGTCTTGAGATGTTGCTTCAATATATCCACATAATTTTCCTTCCTCATGATGCCATCTATTTTGTGAAGTGCACCAGTCCCTCCTGCAGCAAAGCACCCCCACAGCATGATGCTGCCACCCCCGTGCTTCACAGTTGGGATGGTGTTCTTTGGCTTGCAAGCTCCCTCTTTTTCCTCCAAACATAACGATGGTCATTATGGCCAAACAGTTCTAATTTTGTTTCATCAGACCAGAGGACATTTCTCCAAAAAGTACGATCTTTGTCCCCATGTGCAGTTGCAAACCATAGTCTGGCTTTTTTATGGCGGTTTTGGAGCAGTGGCTTCTTCCTTGCTGAGCGGCCTTTCAGGTTATGTCGATATAGGACTTGTTTTACTGTGGATATAGATAGTTTTGTACCTGTTTCCTCCAGCATCTTCACAAGGTCCTATGCTGTTGCTCTGGGATTGATTTGCCCTTTTCAAAGTAAAGTTCATCTCTAGGAGACAGAACGTGTCTCCTTCCTGAGCTGTATGATGGCTGTGTGGTCCCAGGGAGTTTATACTTGCGTACTATTGTTTGTACAGATGAACATGGTACCTTCAGGCTTTTGGAAATTGCTCCCAAGGATGAACCAGACTTGTGGAGGTCTACAAACTTTTTTCTGAGGTCTTGGCTGATTTATTTTGATTTTCCCATGATGTCAAGCAAAGAGGCACTGAGTTTAAAGGTAGGCCTTCAAATACATCCACAGGTACACCTCCAATTGACTCAAATTATGTCAATTTGCCTATCAGAAGCTTCTAAAGCCATGACATCATTTTCTGGAATTTTCAAAGCTGTTTAAAGGCACAGTCAACTTAGTGTATGTAAACCTCTGTCCCACTGGAATTGTGATACAGTGAATTTTAAGTTAAATAATCTGTCTGTAAACAATTGTTGGAAAAATGACTTGTGTCATGCACAAAGTAGATGTCCTAACCGACTTGCCAAAACTATAGTTTGTTAACAATACATTTGTGGAGTCGTTGAACAACGAGTTTTAATGACTCCAACCTAAGTGTATGTAAACTTCCGACTTCAACTGAACGTCCCCATTTTATGTTTCATTTTTTAAAATCTAAATATCACAATTGTGCTAAAAATATATCCTACATTATCATTGTTATACTCAGGATATCGTATTTCAACAAGAAATGTTGAAAAATAACTGGAGGTGCAATGCTCCATGGCATATATGGCATTCATGGTATACAGTGCCCCTTGGCGTTTTTCCTATTTTGTTGCATTACAACCTGTAATTTAAATGGATTTTAATTTGGATTTCATGTAATGGACATACACAAAATAGTCAAAATTGGTGAATGACACAAGTATTGGTCTTCACAAAGTTTGCTGCTTCAGTGTTTTTAGATATTTTTAGTCAGATGTTACTATGGTATACTGAAGTATAATTACAAGCATTCCATAAGTGTCAAAGGCTTTTATTGACAATTACATTAAGTTTATGCAAAGAGTCAATATTTGCAGTGTTGATCCTTCTTTTTCAAGACCTCTGCAATCTGCCCTGGCATGCTGTCAATTAACTTCTAGGCCACATCCTGACTGAAGGCAGCCCATTCTTGCATAATCAATGCTTGGAGTTTGTCAGAATTTGTGGGGTTTTGTTTGTCCACCCGCCTCTTGAGGATCGACCACAAGTTCTCAATGGGATTAAGGTCTGGGGAGTTATCACTTTTGCCTTATGGCAAGGTGCTCCATCATGCTGGAAAAGGCATTGGTCGTCACCAAACTGTTCTTGGATGGTTGGGAGAAGTTGTTCTCTGAGGAATTATTCATAGCTGTGTTCTTGGGCAAAATTGTGAATGAGCCCACTCCCTTGGCTGAGAAGCAACCCCACACATAAATGGTCTCATAATGCTTTACTGTTGGCATGACACAGGACTGATGGTAGCGCTCACCTTGTCTTTTCCGGACAAGGTGTTTTCCGGATGCCCCAAACAATCAGAAAGGGGATTCATCAGAGATAATGACTTTACCCCAGTCCTCAGCAGTCCAATCTCTGTACTTTTTGCAGAATATCAGTCCCTGATGTTTTTCCTGGAGATAAGTGGCTTCTTTGCTGCCCTTCTTGATACCAGGCCATCCTCCAAAAGTATACGCCTCACTGTGCGTGCAAATGCAGTCACACCTGCCTGCTGCCATTCATGCTCAAGTTTTCTGTTTTCTTTCTTATTTCTTGTTTGTTTCACCCCAAAGACAATGTGCATCTTCAAAGTGGTAGGCATGTTGGGTAAATCAAATGATACAAACCCCCCAAAAATCAATTTTAATTCCAGGTTGTAAGGCAACAAATTAGGAAAAATGCCAATGGGGGTGAATACTTTCACAAGCCACTGTATAGCATATGGCATACATAACTATAAACATGTAAACAATAGAAAATAAAAAGTATATACAATCAGAAACACACTTTAAATAGTACTGTAAAAATATGACCATACTGTACAGTATATGCTGAGATTGATATCAAAGATTAAAGGCACGTGCCCATCCGGCAAGTTGGTTGCCCGGACATTTTAAATAGCTTTTTACACCCAGAAATGCCACAAGCAGAGCCATGTACACTGCTGCTTGCATGTTTCCTTTCTGTTGTGAAGTACAGTACTGTAGTTTACTTATACAGTAGTATAGTTTACCTGGCTGTACTGGAGAGCCTTGCTGAAGACAGCTGTACTGGTCCCCAAGAGCCCCACTCCCAATGTGTCCAGCATCATCCTCTTACTCCTGTGGACCACAGTATCTGTCAGGTGAGCTGCGTTGAGGCTGGAGATGGCCGCGCCAAAACTCTCTGTGACACTCTGGAAGAGACAGAGGAGTTCACATTGTATTGCTACCCCGACATCAGTCAATTCCAACTTAAATCAATGGGGATAGCATGGAGCCCTTATAGTAGTAGTAGTTATTCTCACTGTAGGCAAAGAACCCAAGAGAAGTCACATCAATTTTGCCTAACTACTAGCATGAGATCCACTTTGCAAATAATTCTTTGTCTTGCAGAATCTTGTGCCAAACAAAGTACACTGAAAGAAAAGTTGTTAGTGTAACACTGACATGATGGGATACCTTGCGTAGCATTGTGCTGCCTCTACTGTCCCTTGTCGCCTTTTGGCTGTGTACATGACAAGGGATCCCTTTTATACCATAAGGGAAGGCCTTTCTCAATGCTGGTTTACAAACTTTCCAGAATGGCGGAACCAAGGCATGCTTACTGAGGAGTGGGAACTTTCATGACTAAACCAAAAATAGTTTAACTTCCAGTTTCTTTTTTTGATTGCTAGTACCACATTGCATTCCCTATACAGTATAGTCTTGTCCTAATGTGTTGGATGGTCTATTTTCAGACGTTTTCGGAAGATGGGGAGGGTCTCTGATGGTTGTCATCGGGGAGCTTGTTCCACCTTTGGGGTACCAGGACAGAGAAGAGCTTTGACTGGGATGAGCGGGAGTTGGCCCCTCCATCATAGGGGTGGAAGTGCCAAGCAACTAGATGTGGCAGAGCGTAATGCTCAGGACTGGGTGTAGTGACTGAACCAGAGGATTTGAAGACAAGGATTAGGCTATCCATGCAGAAAATAATACTAATGCATTATTGTTTAATAATATAGTATTCTAGGAAAGCTTTAATCAATTTTATTCCAGCCATTTCACATGACTACTACTAGGGTCATGAGGAAAATACCAGAGTTCACAATGATTCTAATAAACAGACTTGAGGAACTCAAGCATGCCACTGCGTTTCGCAATGTCAGTTTTTTTGAGACACCACACACTGGAAATTTGACTCTGACTCTGTAACTTGTAAATCCAGGAATTTCCCCATTTTGTTTAATGGCTTGGGAAATGAAACAAAGCTACAATGTGAGCTAAAAGCACATTGAGTAAAACCACTGCAGAATCCCAGACACAACAGTTTGCGTGTGTGTGTTCAGATTCCCCCTCGGAATGCCTAAAAAGATACCACTTCAAATAACACATACTTGATATAGGCTACATGATATGTGTTTTTTGATGCCAGTGTCTTATTTCCCCTTTCTTACCCCTGTCCTGCGGCTGCCCTGCTTTCACATGTGTTGTCTGAAGAAACGACAGACAATGAGGCGCAAAGGAGAAACACTGTGTTTCCACCTTGGGACCACCAGAGTTCACTGTTGGACAGCTTTCTATAATTGAAACGCTCAATTGAAATTCTAATAAAGTAAGCTAGCTTGCTTAACATTGAAAATATGGCCAAACTAGCTACAATATCCACATTGATGTGTAATTGTCAAAAAAGGTGAAAGGTCAGTGATAAAAAATCACAACTTGGCAACTCATGTAACAAAAAGTTTCCCACTTGTAATTACAATTTGGACGGTCTGATTTGAAACCTAACCTTAACTTAAGACTTAAGACTTTTTAAGGGGGTAGATCACTTTAATATTGCATATAGATTGTAGATAGCTGCGGGCGTATGCTAGCTATCCTGCTTCTCGTGGGCCTGTGAAAGGTTCCACAAATTGTGTGAGGGGTAAGAATGAGTGGATTTCTACATCCCCTTCTTCGGCCGTTGTATTGGACAGTTCAATGGTAAGAAATGTTGTGCTATCCAGGAGCACGAATACAGGACTAATAAGCTGCCCCCAAACATTTTAAACCTGCATCAGGAAATTGAGTCCATCATAGTTCATGTGGGAGTCAATTACGTTATTAAGGGCAGCTCAGAACAGCTGAAGATGGATTTTAAAGAACTGAATGGTTCTCTGCTTGACACCAACAAACGCCCCATAATATCTGGCCCTGTGCCCTCCCTAAATCATGGCATTGAACATTTCAGCAGACTTTTAGCCCTCCATAACTGGCTACGAGACTAATGCAGCTCTGTGGGTGTAACATTTATTGATAATTCTGATACCTTCTGGAAACAAAGCTTGTTTTATCATTTGGGTTCCTGGATCCTTTCATAGCATTATAAGGCTGTGTTGAGACAATGACCCAATTCCAGCTCAGTTAATCCCTACCATTGTGTCGCTAAATTGTCATAATGTTTCAGCAAATGTATATTATCCCAGGGGCGTTGGAAGACACAATGTAAGTAACCTAAATGTTCCTCTAACTGCCCTAAATGCCTCTGCTGATCCAACGGCTATTGTATGCAGTAATCATATGCCTATGAACCAGAGTTATACTGTTAGCACTGAGGCGGTGTGCCCTAGTAGGAAGTCCACTGTGTGCAGCTCACCCTGCACTAATTTAAATTAAATTAGCATGTTTACTTCTGCTAAACTTCCCAGTAAAGCAATGAAAACAATCAAGCATTCCAGAAAATAGCCCACGTTAACATATGTAGCTTAAGAAACAAAGTTAATAAAATCAATAATTTGCTAGTAATAGATGACATTCATATTCTGACCATCTCTGAAACTCACTTAGATAATACCTTTATGATACAGTGGTAGCAATACATGGTTATAACATCTACAGAAAAGACAGAAATGCCAAAAGGTGGAGGTGTTTCCATTTATATTCAGAACCACATTCCTGTAAAGCTTAGAGAGGATCTCATGTTAAACACTGTTGAAGTAATATGGCTACAGGTTCATCTGCCTCACCTAAAGCCCATTCTTGTGGGAAGCTGCTATAGACCACCAAGTGCTAACATTCAGTATCTGGATAACATGTGTGAAATGCTTGATAATGTATGTGATATCAACAGAGAGGTATATTTTCTGGGTGATTTAAATATTGACTGGCATTCATCAAGCTGCCCACTCAAGAAAAAGCTTCAAACTGTAACTAGCACCTCAGTCAACCTACCAGGGTATGAAATCATCAACATGTAATGATCACATCTTTACTAATGCTGCAGAAATTTGATTTAAAGCAGTATCCAAATCCATCGGATGTAGTGATCACAATATAGTAGCCATATATTGTGCATGAAATCTAATACTGCACGAAATCTAATAAAGTCTCGAGGTCTTGCTCACAAGAGGTAGCGTATCTCATGATAGGCTGTAGTCCACACTATTTACCAAGAGAGTTTTCATCTATAATTTTCGTAGCTGTCTATTTACCACCACAAACCGATGCTGGCACTAAGACCGCACTCAACGAGCTGTATAAGGCCATAGGCAAACATGAAAATGCTCATCCAGAAGTGGCGCTCCTAGTGGCCGGGGACTTTAATACAGGCAAACTTAAATCCGTTTTACCTGATTTCTACCAGTATGTTACATGTGCAACCAGACGAAAAATTAATCTAGACCACCTTTACTCCACACTCAGAGACGAGTACAAAGCTCTCCCTCGCCCTCCATTTGGCAAATCTGACCCTAACTCTATACTCCTGATTCCTGCTTACAAGCAAAAACTAAAGCAGGAAGTACCTGTGACTCGCTCAATACGGAAGTGGTCAGATGACGTAGATGCTAAGCTACAGGACTGCTTTGCTAGCACAGACTGGAAAATGTTCTGGGATTCTTCCGATGGCATTGAGGAGTAAACCACATCAGTCACTGGCTTCATCAATAAGTGTATCGATGACGTCGTCCCCACAGTGACCGTACATACATACCCCAGGGTATGTACAGGCAACATCCGCATTGATTTAAAGGGTAGAGCTGCCACTTTCAAGGAGTGGGACTTTAACCCAGACGCTTATAAGAAATCCCGCTATGCCCTCCGACGAACCATCAAACAGGCAAAGCGTCAATAAAGGACTAAGATTGAATCCTACTACACCGGCTCCGATGCTCGTCGGATGTGGCAAGGCTTGCAAACTATTACGGACTACAAAGGGAAGCACAGCTGTGAGCTGTCCAGTGACGCGAGCCTACCAGACGAGCTAAATTACTTCTATGAGCGCTTCGAGGCAAGCAACACTGAAGCATGCATGAGAGCACCAGCTGTGTGATCACCCTCTCCATAGCCGATGTGAGTAAGACCTTTAAACAGGTCAACATTCACAAGGCCGCAGGGCCAGATTGATTATTTTTACGCTGCTGCTACTATTATCTATGCATAGTCACTTTACCTCTTTTTACATATACACTATGCCAAGAGTGTGCAAAGCTGTCATCAAGGCAAAGGGTGGCTATTTGAAGAATCTCACATATAAAATATATTTTGATTTGTTTATTACTTTTTTGGTTACTACATGATTCCATATGTGTTCTTTCATAGTTTAAAAAACAACAACATTTTTAGTCTTTTAGCAGACGCTCTTATCCAGAGCGACTCACAGTTAGTGAGTGCATACATTTTTCATACTGGCCCCCCGTGGGAATCGAACCCACAACCCTGGCGTTGCAAGTGCCATGCTCTACCAACTGAGCTACAGGAGGCCCAGTTCTACAATGTCAAACATTTTCAAAATTAAGATAAACACTTGAATGAGTAGGTGTGTCCAAACTTTTGACTGGTACTGTACATATTGCCTCAATTACCTTGACAAACCTCTGCCCCCGCACATTGACTCTGTACTGGTACCCCCTGTATATAGCCTCGTTACTGTTCTTTTATTGTTGCTCTTTATTTATTTGTTATCTTTCTATTTTCTGCTTTTTTTCATTTTTATTTATATTTCTTTATTGTTTACTTCAGTTTATTTAGTAAATACTTTCTTTCATTTTTTTAGCAACCCTTATGTAGACAGAGCTCCACACACATCCGTTCCATGCATCGAATGGGGTTGGAGTCGAGGGAAAATAAGTCAGTGTTACCAAAAATGTGCATTTCATAAATATTCTAATAAAGTGTGTACATACAACGTATTAAACACGTCTGTAAAACCACAATGAGGACATCGACCCACCAAGCAAGTTTTCATAAATCATTGGGTACAGCGCAAGAAAAATGTCAGAGTAATCGGAAGTGTACAACATTTACAACATAACATACATAGGTATTTCATCATTAAGACCTTTAGGAAATAATGTTTAGAGGGTGAAAATACAAAAATATTATCTTTTGCTCTGAATATTATTTATATCACCTCCCTTGTCTGATATCTGAACTTCCTCTATGCCACAAAATCTAAAGGTAGAAATGTCATATTTTTGGACATTAAAATGTACTGCGACTGGATAATCCCTGTC